TTTCACAAACTTTTTGATAAAAGGTTTTTCTCATCACTAGTATAATTTATATTGGATAATTATTATAAAATATGGATATGAATTCATATGTGCACCTATTATTCATATGCATATTTTAATTATTATAACTTATCTATTAAACTGTGGATGAGTCTAACCTACTCTCGAAATGTCTGAAAATTTAAGATGAATATATAAATATTCTAGAAAATAGTGCAGTTTGTTCATATTTCCAATTTCAATATGCTTATAATAAAAATCGACATAGAAAACTCTATACATTTCTTCGAAAAGTTTAAAAATGTCAAATTTCGGAGGTTTAATTGGAGTTTTAGTTTATTTTGATTTTTGTACCCGACATGCACATGCATGAAATAGCGGAAAATTCTTTTTTTATTTTGAATTTTACTGGATATAAGAATCGATGAAAGTCACGCTACACATATACATAATATAGTCAGATGCAAATGATGCATTACAAAATTTTACCTCATAACTTTTCTTCTTTTTATTTTTATATAACATTTAAAATAGTATTTAATTTTTTAAGAAAAAAATCGAAATTTCGATTTTCTGAAATTAACAAAATTGAAATTTTGAAATCGATTTTGGGTAATAAAGCACTTAACTTAGTATTTCACATAAATAATTTTGTTAAAGGTAAATATATTTGAAGACCAGTTATGATATATAACTAATTATATAAATATATAATTAATTTTATATTTAATCTTTGAATTTAAAAGTTTTCGGAATATGAAAAACATTATCTGAATGATGGATTTGACATATTGAATACTTTATTTATATTTTATTATTACATTCAATATCAGTTCACTTGTATAAATCTATAAAACGCAGAGTGAAATGAGCATTTGAAGGATATAATTGTCACATTTGATTTTATCAGTTGTTAAAAATATTTATAGATTTATTAGTGAGTTTCACAACTATATTTATATCACTTAATTTAATTGCGAAAGATATTATGCAAGACTAGCAGGCATTATTATTAGGCGTAATGTCAAAGTCGAAAATTCATGTCATCAATAATTATAAACAGTATAAATAATTTTATACTAATTATATATATATATATATATATATATATATGTCTATATATATATATATATATATATATATATCTATATATACACTAGCTGGCCCGGAAAACGTTGTTTAGCCGTAAAAAAATTCAAGAAAATCTTTAGTATAAAAAATAATTAACTGATTATGAATGTAGAAGTGTGTAGTTTAAGAGGCAACTAACACAAATTTATTGGATGGTTGACTCACCGTTACATATTGCTATCAAGATAGAAAATAGCACTCGTATCATTAGTAATTGATTGTTGAGCTGTGGATGCAGCTATAATTAGATGCATCTTCGAGTGAAATATCCCAATCAGCGTCGCAATATATAACATAAGTTTATCAGCAAATCAATAGTAATTATGCTGCAAAAACCAAACAACATTCATAGTTTTACAGCGCATAACACATATCAAACAACCAACTGTAAAAATATGATCAGAAAATTTTCCAGTTATTATTTGAATATAGAAATATGTTTATTTTCCGCTTTTTCTAAAAATTTTCATTTTGTTCCTTTCACCCCATAGAGGGCAAACACACTCAATGTCTCATTTTAAATTATAGGGGATTTTCCAAAATGAAAGCTATTAATGCACATTTTTTACATAAGATTATACCTGATTATTCATCAGCAGAGTTGGAGACTATTAATTTCATTTATCTCTTGTAAAATTTCCTTTTTGCTTATTATACATTATTATTCAGTATTAACTTATTTTTCACACCTTTGCCAGAATGTTTAGTCTGTCCTTTTTACCCTAACCAAATTTTCTAGAGATTATATAAATAATCTGTTGAATATAAAGTAAAACTATCGATGCTTATTATAAAACAATTAAATGACGAAAATTAAAGTGGGCTTTTGTACTCGCAGATCTTCAAGCCCTGCTCCACCCTATCATTTTGCTGCTAAACTCGTTCTAATGCTGGAAGTATTGATACATTTGATATAATGCAAATGTATATATCTCGAAATAAATTATTTGACAAAATGTCCCAATATATTGGATTCGTCCACGTTTTAGCCCGCAATTCTGAATCGATTTTGAAAATTCAAAAACCGTTCGAAAGATATTGGTTGGAAATCGACCTGATTAGTTTTTGGTAAAGATCGGCCGGGCCGTTTTCTTGTAGTAAAGTGTTGAAAAAAAAATTTCGACGATTTCTATGACTTTTTTTTTGACGGTAGATTATATAATCTTATAGACTATATTTTATCTTATAGTCTTATAGACGGTAGATTCCATAGTCTAAAATATTACGGCCTTACGACAAGTGGTTTAATTTTAAAAATTTATCAAAGTTTGAGAAAATGAGTAGTTTTTTTGACGTTTAAAATAAGACGATTTACTTGGTATAATTATAGTGTGTCGAAATACTTTTAATAACTCATAAATTAATTTATATTTAATTGATTAAGTCGATTATTTACACATATCGGAAAGTTCATGTAACTTGCCACAAGGCAAAATATCAATGCCAACTCATTTTCTCAAACTTTGATGAATTTTTAAAATTAAATTACTTGTCGTAAGGCCGTAATATTTCAATAAGTTGTATAAGACCATGATATATATCATCAAAAAAAGTTTCATAAAAATCGGCTTAAATTTTTTTTTCAACAGTTAATTACAAGAAAACGGCTCGATAGATTTTCACCTAAAACTAATCAGTATCATTCCCAACAAATATCTTGCGAACAGTTTTGATATTTTAAAATCAATTCGGTAGTTTGTGCTTAAATGTGGACTAAAAGTTTAACAATTTTTCCAAATTTCGAAGGAACGGCTCGGCCGATCGTCGCACAAAATTCACTCATTGAGACACATCAAATGGTTTTTAAATTTCTGAAATCGGTTCAGGCGTTTTTGAGCAATCGTCGATGAAATGTCTAATTTTGACAAATGCCAAAAAAACTATACTAATTTTTGAAAATTTTGACTAATTTTTGAAGCTAAACGAGTTGTCGTAGGGCCGTAATATTTTAGTATGATCTAGAAGACTATGGTATCTACCGTCAAAAAAATAATAGTAAAAATCGTCGAAAAAAAATTTTTCAACACTTCATTACAAGAAAAAGGCCCGGCAGATCTCTACCAAAAACACATCAGCACAATTCTGCCTATGGGATAAAAAGGACTAGACTACAAATCTTGAAAAAACAGCAAACAAATACGTTACCATTAGGACGAATAACCTGGTAGTATGATTAAAAATAGTCAGATAGTTGTGTGATTGATATGTATTATTTGTTTTGATATAATTGGTTTGGTTTTCACAATATAATTGCTCTAAATCAAATTGGACCTTTGTGCCTTGCCCTACTCTATATACTTTCGGTAAATAATATTTTACAATTATTTGTTTAGATATTTATCTATATAATTTTTTAAAATAACTTTTAGATGATTTTTAAATATATTTTAATTAATATTCTATTTGATCAATTAGTGCAATTTTCACGGCTGGATATAATTTCTTACTACCGGTTATGGGCAGCATTAAAACACTAAATTCTATGAAGTTCTACGTTTTATCAATATTCACGTCCATATTTACTGATTTGAAAAATTGTTCCTATATAAATCGTAAATTGTAGCTTGTGTCTCAAGAACTTACCTAATTATATTTTAGTTAAAATTGTGTTTCTAAAATATAATTTAATTGTCAATATTTAGTATCAATGGATTAGAGCCCAGAGCTCCGTCTAATAGCACACGCACGTGGTCAACATTGCCTATCATTAACAACTCAAATATTTTTACATATCTTTTGATCCGAATCAGAATGACTCGGATGATTTGGTTAGTTTTGATTTATATTAGAATTTGATTAGCACAATTTGGAACACGAATGCCTTTATATAAATTGATTCGAATACAGGTAACTTTGATTTGAATCAGGTTAGTACTACCTTTATTCCGCGTTACCTAAACACTTAAATACAAGGTGTACAAATGGCGTATTAGTAGCATTCGTGAAATTTCATTAGAAATGGCATTTTACAACATATATGACAATATATATATATATATATATATATATATATATATATATATATATAATATATATATATATATATATATATATATATATATAAATTGAAAAACATATTTTATCAATTTTCTACTATCTATTATTTGTGTAAATAATATTTCTACTTCTATTCAAAAAACCTTTAACAATAACTGATAAGCTGATAACGTACTAAAGTACATTATGATTATTGAATCGAAAAATATTACTAACATATGTGTATCTTAATAGTTTATGTATATATGTATAAAATAGTATTTATAATAGTATTTGAGCAAAGAGCAAATTTGCATGAAATTAAGTATTTAAAAATATTAGTAACAATAGAAATAAATATTTGCATTCGTGGTATACATATAATATAACATTTGCGAGTAACGTACTATGCAAGTATAATAACGTCTATGTACATTCCTCGAGTTTTTTTTATAAAAATTATTTAAATATAGAAACCACATGCCACAATATAGTTACAAACAAATAATGAATTTATTTGTCTCATTTTATGACTGTATTATATTCTATTTACCGTGGCTTAGGTCAATAATGATAAAGTTATTTAATGTTATATGTTTATCTCTTATTTTATTAAAGTTTATTGGAGCTTGGAAGTGCTTAAAAATATGTTTTTGCTGAATTCGTGAAATTTTGAACGTTTGCTCACGTGAGAGCACGGATGAGATGCTGGAATACTACGGCCCACATAATATAGTCGCAGGTTTAATTGGTAAATTATCCTGCGAGGCGGATTAGCAACTACTTGTTCGCCTCTAAGCAGACACGTTACGTGCGCTCGATAGAAATGTTCCACTCTGCCATGCTTACTTACTGCAAGATTTCCTCGTTTCTGTAAACAATTTGGTGCTAACTGGTTGTAGGCGCTTCAATTTGAAACGATTGATACTCATGTATTGGTTGGTTCTACTGGATGTCGTTTGTTGTTATTCTGTGTGATAAGAGTGATATCATAATAATGACTCTAAGCTCACGATGCCACGGGATAGCAGTATTATTGATGCATTGTTGAGCAGTGTACGCGAGTGCAAGTGAAGTATTAGTTGAACAATGTGAAATCATTTCTAGAAATTTTATGTGATATTAATAATATTGTTGTCGTAATGGATTCAGAATAATGTAATAAATGATCTTTATTTGATGAGATTATTAAAAATGAATATTACAACATTCACGCAATCAAGTAATTTAGAATCAATCCAATCAGCCAATTAACAAAATCGACGAATATTTTTCAAGTTTTATTAATCAAAACCTTAAAAAGTTGATAACAAGACAAATGATACCTACGAGCAATCAACAAGTATGCCTAGAAGAGACCTTCCGGTGATCATTGATGACTATGAATCCTTTGAAATCATCAGTTATTCTTGATGTTTTGGATGCTCTATTTGCTCTAACACTGGTTGCGCCCGCCGTAGTCGGGTATTGGAGAGGCACGTGGAATCTAATGGGACATTATGTTTATACAGATAATGAAATATATAGCAGTTTCGTGTCTTTGGCCATAGGCTTTATTGGGATGTTTATATTTTGCTTGGCACAAGGACCGATCAAAAGATATTTAGAAGGTAAAGATAATTTCTCCAATATTATTTTGCTTGAAAAAGCTTTTTCGCTCTATCTTCTAAAATATATATCGAATCAAAAGGATATTTAATCAGCAAAATGTTGGCGATATATAAACAAACATTTTAAATATTTTTTTTACCAGTTTCAAAATGTAACTGAACTCAATATGATATTAATATAGGTAAATCTAACACATGTTTTGCACTATCTTCGTGGGTCTACACCGCTGTTTATGGATTTATATGTGTGAATTCATGGCGAGGTGCTTGGTTAGTAGGAAACTTATATCAAGATAGATCTCTCCAATTGATCATAGCAGTTACATTATCAGCGGTTTTACTTTTGGGATTACTCAAAACGCTGAGAAACATATCGGCACCACCTTGTGTGGTTACAGTCGATGATGCTGAAGACTATTTCGATGTACCTACATATTTTAAAGAATCGGTGAGAGATTTTTCATTGGGACATCTTACGCAGCATCTTTGCTTTTCACGGTTGCTTGATAAACATTTCCATAGTATAATAATATTCATTTGAAATTCACACATTATCATCGTATGAATACATTTTTGCGCGGAATACATTTGCATACATATTTATAATGATCATTAATTACAATAAATTAAGCATGCAAGCGTGCTTAATGTATTTCAATGAATATATGATTATATTTTTATACGCTATTTTATTTTGAAAAGCTAAAATATCACTAATTTGTCTATCTCAATTAAAATAATTTTTATTTATTAAACTTCATTAAACAATTTCTTAACCTATTACATTTTTATATTGTCCTCCATTAAATTTGACCCGTAAGCATATATGCCCGTTTTTTAACAACCTATTTATATTATGGTCCATTTACAAAATTTTCTAAAGGAATGCATCATAGTTCAAGCTTTTTTTTTAATTCTTGTAAAAATGCATGAGAATATTTCAGCAGATTTTCCATGGAGACATTAAATATCTGACCAATGCCAGATTTATTTGTAATAATTAAATTAGATTTCTGGTTTAGTATATCAAAATATAAATGTCGCGGTTGTTAACATTGAAGATTAAAAAAAAACATAAACTCTTCCTTCGGGAAGTTAAAAAACGAGAAAGAGTTACAATATTGTACCAAAAAACTTAAATTGAAATTTGATTTTTTAAATACTTAAAGTTTTTGATTTTTTAAAGTTGAAATTAAAAAAAAAATTTCTTTATGCATTGTTAGTTTTTCAATTATTTCAATTGGAAACAGAATAATAATGTGGGTAGCAATTTATACTGATATCTTATTCGTTATCATTCTTCTAAAAACTGCGCTGATGATTTATACCACAATTACAGAGTACCTATGTAACAAATTAAAATTCACATTTAAATAATAAATATTATTCATAATTGTAACTATAGACAAAAGTAGATAAAATTTTTAACATCAATAAGCGAGTCAAATAGAATAGAAGTAGTTTATTTAAGTAATTGGCAATATTATAATAACTCTCAACAAATTATGATAGATGTTCAAGTACCGATGGTTATTTAGCATTATATTTATTTACAGTAAATTGTACTATATATAAAATAAATAAGCGTATATAACTTATCATACTTATTTATCAAAAATCATACAAAAAACTTGGTTTCATATAAAATTTGCTGTTTGGTTTGATACACATTGACGAGTAAAATTCAAATTTCAGCACATGTAAAGAATGTGTCAAAATATTTTGAATAATGTGTACAATTTTTAATAGTATTGAAATAATTTATTACACGCCGAACAATTGTGTTAAATTTATTTGTTCATGATCTATTGATTATTTGAGTATCATATAATTTATTTCGTCAAAGCATTATATTTTTAAGTTTATTTCATTCATTAAAATTCATGAAGTTGAGGACAAATTGTCTCAAAATATTACTCTAAGAATATTATTTAATGAAGCCATTGCAAGAATGCATTGTGTTCAACTTTACAAAATTAATACTAATTTCGCTTATAATTTGATTATATTATATATATACCTATATTTATATTTATATTATATGTATTGTATATTTGTTTATATTTGATAACTTGATATTTTAAAAAAAATGATTTAAAAAAAAGTATTTCTTGTAAATTTTGAAACCTTTCTTTTTATTAACTTCTCGTAGAGCTAAATATTCAAATGGCAGTTTTCGAGAGAACTGAGCATCCGATTTGAATGATTCAAAAAACTTTCTGCTTGTGTTGACGACACGATTGCTTCTGGGGAAAGAATTTTTTTTTCATTTTTTTAATTTCTAAATATTTTTTTTTACTAAATTTTATTCCTCGAATATTTCATATGGTACGGGAAGTTCTAGCAATTTGCCTCAAGGCACAATGCCATACACAACCAGTTTGTGTCTTTTATTTATAACGTAATAATTAATTAATTATCACATAAAGTTAATTACATGACTGCAACAAAACGGTTAAATACGTTTGTTTGAAGCATAGAAGTTGTAGTTATAGAAACAAAAAGAAAAAAAGTTATACAACTTTGAATATTTTCAATAGTGACATGAAGTTCAAAACATTGGACACAAAAATTATAGATATATTTGTTAAAGTTTCTATAAAGAATCAGTGATTTCGTTCTCAAACTAAGGTGCAATTTTAGATGTTTTTACGATTATTACAGAAACGGCTAGTTTTGCTATGTTCAAAACCTAATACATAACTGAAGCATTCAAATTGATCCATCCGAGTTTTCAAAAATGTGGACAAATATCTATATCCAAACATACATGCATGCAGACTACACATACCTTCTTAAAACAAGTTTTCTATTGCTTTTCAAAATATAGATAGATGAGTATAAAAGGTATAACTAGTTGAAATAGCATTTTGCCTTATGGCAAGTTGCAAAACTTCGAAAACGATATGTGTAATAATTGACTTAATCAACCGAAATTGAGATTTAGATTTTTAGATAAAATTTTCGACTGTTTATTTCAAAAATAAAAGTTTCGCTGTCACTTAAATCCAAACATTGCAATTTTCAATTGATACACATTCATAAAATCTGTAATTACATTATTTACAGTGCACAGACACGTGCTTGTATGTTCTAAAATTGTAGCTTATTATTCCAAATTCATTCAATTCAACCGATTTTAGTAAGACTGTTCAGTGCATAACTTTAATGCATAATCAAATTTCATCAAAAACGTTGAAAATTTTTTATTTATGAAAATTCTAAAGCCATAACAATTTCTAATGGCACGGCCCATCTTTCGCGGCACCTTCTTATCGAGTTCATTCTATTGGCTTTTAAAATTGTTAAATTTAAATTTTGACTTATCACATCACAAAAGCAACTTTTGACATGAAAATTGACTCATATATTTTCTCAAATTTTGATAATTTTTTAAAATTAAACGACTTGGCATGGGCTGTGGGCCAATATTTTAATATGTTCTTAAGAACCATGATATCTATCCACATAAAAAGTTTCTTCAAACTTTTTTTTCAACAGTTAATTAAGAAGAATTACGGCTCGGCAAATTTTGTCAAGAACTAATCAGCACAAAACCCAAATAATATCTTTCGAGTAGTGTTTGAATTTTTAAAATCAATTCAGCATTTTTTTATAAAATGTGGACAATTTTTTTTTTACTTTTCTGCTAATTACAATGAATCAGCTTGGCAGTTCGTCGCACAAAACTTAGTAACGATCGTCCTTACGAGTTACATCGAATAGTTTTAAATTTTTTAAATCGATTCAGCAGTTTATGAGACAAATTTATTGTCATTCAATACAGAATGGCTTGAAATGTGAAAAAACATAAAATTAGCAAATAGGATTTTTTGGCAACAACATAAACTTCTCCTTCAGAAAATTAAAAATTTATATTACCCATTATTTGCGATTTATTTAACAGGAGTTGAAAATTAAAAAGGTTATGACTAAATTCTAAAAAATCAAGTTATAAACAAAAAATAATGAAAAAATAAATAAAACAATAATATTAGAAAAAATATTTATACTTATAATCGTCTCTATAATAACTTGTATAATAACTACTAATATAATACTATATATTGCTATTTATAAATCACTATAAATAGCCTTGAAAAAACGAATTCAGAAAGTATTGCGTTCATGCCAAAAGTTTCATTAAATTTTGGGATAATTGGGAACTGTATTCTCTTAACCCAGAAGGGGCATATCATTGCAGGATCATTCGTATTCTCGGAATGTTTAATATATCTTCATATTTTTCGCTGAATATAGTCGTGGAAATTATATTAGTTATTAGTCTTCTTATTTTCAAGAGCATTATATTGCTTGGTTTTAGTTCGTTTAAAGCAAGTTTCAGTTGTTATTTGTGTGGTGATTAGATCTTAGTTATTAATTAGTGGTTATGTCTACTTTTAACTTCCCGTAGGGCAAGTTATAGTAATCGCAAAAAAATCGAAAATGAAAATTTTTATATGATTTTTACGTTTCAAAAACTTTTGAACAATTTAGCATACCTTAGAAAAAATGGATGTATGCGTGTCAAAAATCTATCTTTTTCAGAGTAAATTTGTTTCAAAAATGTTAATCTTTTAAAAAAAAAAATTTTTGGTACGGGAAGTTTCAGCAATTTGCCTTAAGGCACGATGCCATGCGCCCCACTAGTTTTAAGTATTTAACTGAATAGATTTTAATAGAATAATTTACCCAAAAATTGTTTTTGAATTATTTAGTTTAATTTCAATTTTCCATTCAAAAACATATACTTTATTAAATATATATATATATATATATATATATGTATAGCATTTTGATATTTAAAATATACAGTATATAATATATAATTATGTGAAAAGAAAAAAAGGTTTAACACTTTCTCAATACTCATAAAAATGAATATTTACACAATAGTCTTGAAAATATCTTATCTTAAAAAAGATAACCACAAAGATATATTTCAATAATAGTGTGTTTCCAATTGTGTGTGATTTGTTTAAAAAGTTTTACGGCGTATATATTATTTATATTTATTAATAATACCTATATACTCAAACGCTACCGCGTTGTTGTGCTACGCTAAACTTAAAGAATATAGGGGTAAGTCCCCGAGTGCCGTACACCTAAGGTTATTTATAAATAAATCAAAAAATATTTTACGAAATGTTAATTAAAATATGACTTATATTAGATAGCGAAGTTAGAAATTAAACTAAATTAACAAAAACGCAATCTTTGCTATACAATAATTAATACTATCAATCAAACTTTGGTATTACAAAGTGGCAAATAATATGATATTACAAAGTGGCACCTAGTACAGGACATTTCAAAATAACCAGCATTGAACACATATGTAGTCATCTCCACACTCTAGAATGTCTGCACATTTGTGTTTGACGAATATTATCAGATATTGCAAAAAAAAATCACTAATTATCCACCCTTTTGTCTGGGCCACACCGA